AAATCCACGATTTTGATTGGTTATCACCTCTTCGGAGATTTTCGTAATTTGTGTAACTAGAACGGTCGCTCCTGGATGGCACGCATGACTCAATTTGGATAATCCGGTCTGATACGTATCACAACTGCTTATTCAGCTGCGATAGACCATAACTCACAACCCAACCATTCCTCCCAAAGGAAACCCGGTCACTTTCTAAATATAAACTGTGAATATCAATATCACATGTTCATACTGACGGTCGGCCTGCATTATGCGGGCGTGCCAGCACTAAGCCGCACAAGCTCAACTGCTTACGTACGGTGATCTCCCGGCGCAGTATTATTTGCTATTTCTGGGGTTTCAGTTTTAATATCGCATAACGATAATTCGCAATTAATATTACCTATATTCATCAAATAAAATTCATCTCCAGTATATCAGACCGGATCATACTTTTCGACGGTTTTTGATGTTTTAAATTATTACGTAACAATGTACCGAAAATAGAAATTTTGAATCACAGATCATTTTGCATAGAAATATAGCATTCCGTTATTCTTTGAGCAATTTTCTCCAATATGATACAGTTTATTTCTATATAAAGGGATTCGAAACACCGATAATCAAAAATCGAAATTAAGGTGCATGTCCATAGACCAATTTGTAACCACGATTAAAAAAACACACTGATTACAAGAATTCACTCGATATTTTTGTAGAAAAAAATGTCTGAAACCTATTTTTTTGAGCAACAAGATGGCTCGAGAATTGCTTATAATATTCTTGAACCACACAAACCGGACGATATTAAAAAAATACCCTTAGTATTAATCATGGGATGGTGAATATTTGCATTTTAAATAAGATTATTCTCATAATTTTAAATTAATGTATATAAAATATAATAATTAAGTATGGGCGTTAAAGAATTATTTATGGGACTGAAGGAAGGTTAAGATTGATATCTTTATTACGCAGGTGAACATTTTTGGTTTTACTAAAAAATGTAGCATTTATAAGATTTTAATTTTAATTGGTTAATGTTGGTTTAATAAACCAATTTATTTTTACAGTTTAGTAAAACCAAAACTTATACCAAAGTTTACTATGTATAGAAAAGTGTAATTAACTAAATCTATTATTATTAGAATTAGCCAAAAATCAAAAAGGGTTGCTACATTTATTTTATTGCTATATTTATTCTTTTGACTAATGTCTCGAATTTATTAGTCATTATATTTGATAATCGTGGAATGGGTAAATCGAGCGTTGTTTCACCCTATGAACCTATTTCAATTGATTTGATGGCACAAGATACAATCGCATTGGTCAAGCATCTAGGAATCAAAAGATTTAATTTGTTAGGATGGTCTGTGGGAGGTAATATCAAAGTTTAAATGTCAAAATTTTAGATAAATAATTCTTGTATATACTAATTTTTATATATAGGTCTTATTGCAGTTAATGTGGCATCAAATCTTCCATTGGGTCTTGAACTAGAGAAACTTATTATTTGTGCAAGGTACAAGTAATAAGTATATCATAATTTTAGATAATTTGCAAAATTATTTAACTCATAACCTTATTCCTTAATAAAGTCCAGCTCAACCTCTGGTATTTCCATACTTTGAAGACCTTTATAATTCGCCAAAGCCACCAGATTTGCCAAAAAATATTCA